CCGGGGGTAGGGAAAGACACCCTTGAAGAGTGCCTGCTGCAGGACACCGAGGTGGGTTTTATATACACAGTGTGGGAAGGAGAGGGGAAACTTTGCTGGCTGTGACTACAGGACAGCACTAACCATCCTAATCCTATAGAGGAGATCAGCATTAAGCTTTCAGGGGGAGCTGCAGACCTTCCCTCAAGCCTTGTGATGGAGCCAGGCCATGCTCTGGGTGCTCCTGAAACACGGTCCAGGCTCAGCCTGGGACACGGGGACCAGTTAGTGATGGGGAGGGTGGCCATGTCAGAAACCGGACAATGGCATAACACTGGGGTTGCTTTTTAAACCCCTTGGAGGGGTGCGTTGATTTCACATCATCAAGACACGGGGTTCGGACCCCCTCTGAAAGTCATGGAGTACCTCATTCAAGGATGCTTTCAAAGAGGTTTGCTTCCAAAGCAGCTCCCCAGCTGGTTGTTCGGTGCCTCCTTGGGGTGCTGAGCCGTGTTTTTCAACTACATCTTGGGGATCTGGGATGGGAATCCAGCAATTTCTTGGTCCTCCTTAATGCCAGAGCCAGGGAAGGGGCAGCAGGGCTGCATGCCGCCCTGGGCTGTGGGCTGCTGGTGTTTGCGGGGTGTGTGTGTGTGTGCAATTGTGTTGTTAACATCTTACAGCTGGTGGCAAGAAATTCTGCTCATTGGGGAAAAGTGAGGTGATCTTTTTAATGCTTTTTAAGGCCATAACATCATCTGCAATTAATGTTTAACTCTAGTAATGACCGTGCTCCCTAGCCAAGCACTAGCGGTGCAGCAGTTGTTTTGCTAGGGCTGCAGAAGAGGCGTTTCTGGGATGTCTCGGCGTGCATTTCCCTGTTTCCGTGTCACTCCCAGCCTTGGATTTGGCAGCTGCTGGTGCCTCTGCCTCTCTTCCTCCTGCTGTACCCCGGAGAGTGCTGCCTCCTCTCTCCAGACTCGAAGCTGCTTCCCTCTCATTTGCTAGCTGTTTTTCCTGCCGTGACTGTGCACATCTCGCCTTGCTCCGTCCCTCCCCCAGAAATCCCACGCTGGCTCCCCGTTTTGCTGTCAGAGGAAGATCAGTAGTTACGGCTTTGCAAAGCATCGGCTCCTCCAAGGTGGTGTGGCTGATGGGTGAGCGAGGCTGGGCTGGGAGAGGGGAGCACGCCGAGGTGCTGGTACGGCCAGGTTTGTGCCACCGAGCAGAAAGGAGACGTGTCCTTGGCGCGTTTTTCTCCCCCGGTGCTGTTGGGGCGCAGCGTGTGGAACAAGTAGGATGTGGAAGGCCAAATCGCTCTGGGCCTGCAGATGAATGAGAGCCGCGCAGAAACGCAGTGACATGCCCGCAGCCGGGCCGTTCCGGACGAGCGGCCAGGGCAGGAGGGC